TGACCAAATTTCCAGTTGGCTTTGCAACAATAAACCTGAATACGAGCTTTCAGGCATGCTCGTCCAGTTAGAGCCTTCCGCTGAGAACCACCAAAAGGCAAATTTGCGGCCGACCACGGTGCGAATAGGTGTTCACAACAAGCCGGAGAAACTTCAGGGAGTGTTACATTGATGCAACACTCTGTATACGTGGGCCATTGGGAAACACATAAAATAGATGAAGCAAGGGAAAGAAAACAATAATAGCAAATGTATTTTATGCTATGGCACACTCCTTTAGAAGGCGCATTTGGCGCTGTCATTACGATCCCTGCTCGCGCCATCACCACTGGCTCGCAGCGGCACAAACGGGTCATCATCATTTAACGTCATCAGCTTGGTCGTTATGCCAGTCTCTCTCTCTACTCCTTCCCTTCCTCCTTTCCTGCTTCAACTACGAAGTCGTAAGAGAGATCGCGCTGACATCTGTCGTCACGGGGGGCTGCCCAGAGAGCTCTGCCGATTTCCCCTAAGTACCCCGGCGTTCCCTCTTCCTTGCGCTGGTACTAGACGGTCTCGCCCAAGCTACATCCACGCCATCTCAGTACAGCACCCACTCATAATCGTTATTGTCATTATCGTTAACTTTAACGAACAGCCAAGGCATGAGTCATGGCTTTACTTTGTGCATCGTGCCAATGGCAGCAAGAGCAAAAGCACTCAGCCTAAGGGTTTTACGCTAAACTAATGGCGGGCAGCATTTACCAACGAGGAGCTTGGCGAAGCAGACTCTTTGAGCGTCTTTTCTGGTTCGCGAAGAAAAATATGTTTTATGCGACTGCCATGACAGGTTATGGAAATCAGAAAGCATAAGATTCATACTATGTTTTTCTAATATGCGCTGTACATTTTGAAATACTTTTATAATATATGCGATTGTTTTATTATGTTTGCTTTTCTCGTGCATTGATCGGTCACTTGCAACTAAAATCATTACGACTGCTATGTTCAAGAGCCACCTTAGACAGCAGTATCCTAAGCCGGAAAACAGAACGTCTCTGTAGCTATGCAATCGCACAAGCGATTCAAATAGAATGCAATCGAGCAAAAGGAAGGCTGAATGTAAGGCTAGTAGATACAATTAGGAAGACTGCGGTGATAACAGGCCGCCACAAACACAGAACCGTGTTGATTGGCGTAACATGGGAGAGGCTTTCGCCACGGAGTGGGCGTGGTCAGGCTTCCGCGACTTTTGCGCATTTTCTTTGGTTGTACGTTTTCAAGCGACTGGTTTGTTCCTTCATGTACAATTCTAACAAATTATTGGCTTCGCGAATTGTACTTGAAAACTCAGCCGAGGTTACGGCAGCATCTGCGAGATGTATCAGAGCCACATGGAAATGTTTACACATTGCTTGCGACTCTATAGATGCAGGGTTATTGCTGATTAGTTCGCATTGACATTCCTCCTATGTATCAAAGCACTGGTCCAGTGTTTCGATCGACGCACATTGCTGTCGCCGCGACGCTGGTCAGTGAACTTCAGTGAAATGCAGGTTAGACTAAATAAAATATTGGCAGATCCCAACTGCCAACTGATGGGAATCGATGATATGCGAAGCACGAAAGAGGAAGAGTGATAGGTCTCTTTAAAATCAGCACAACGTTAAGAGGCGCAGGTAAATTATGCCGTACATGATTTTCATGTCATGATTATTATGTTTGGACGTTTCATTTACCTTCGTCGTCTATTAACGTCACCTGGTACCAACTTTGCAAATATGAACCTAGCGAAACGCCCCTGAGCATGCTAAGAGCGTAGCACGTAGTCTTGTTTTACATGAATTCCATATAATTTTTATGCTTATTGGAGGTGTCATTTGCCTTCATGGTCCATTCACGTCACGTAGTACCAAATTTGGTATATGTGGAACTAGTGAAACGGCCACGAGAATGCCATGAGCGTAGCATATAGTCATGTTTTACATGAAACGCATATTAATATTATCAGGTTAGGACGTGTCATTTACCGTCGTCGTCTATTCGCTTCCCGTGATACCAAATTTGGTACTTGTGGAGTCAGCGCAACGGCGGCGAGCGGTTCATGAAGCGCCCAATAATATAACCCGACGCAACGTTGACGCACCCGCAGGCTGGGCGCAGCGACACCACGCTAGCGAAACGCGAGAACGCGAGCACTCTATAGTGTGACGCCAGGCATGACCAGCGCAACCTGAGTCCGTCGGCGCGGCCCGGTGGCAACCGGCGCTAAATGCTACATGTTGCATTTTGCGCCAACGACGTTACTTAGACAGCACCGCGTCTGCCTCTCTTCGTGACGGAGGGACGCCGTGTGCGCTCAAACGTGCATGCATCAAAGCAACGCAGCGGGGCGCATGTCTGCGAGTATATGACATGTAGATCCACAATGGAGGTCAGTGGGCAGATCCACTGATCACTACTAGGGGGATATCGGTGCCTGGCGTGGCATCGCCGGCGTGACGCGATAACACGAACAACCGGCGCGCACACGCGCCGGCTCACCTCGAAGTGTGCTTCGAGTGTGGTGTGCATTAATGTTCTCACATGACACGCATCTCATTATTACCATGTTTGCACTAGTCACATGCCTTCGTCATCCATTCACGTCCCGTAATACCGAATTTGGTACATGTGAAGCTAGTGAAATGGCCACGAGCACATCTTGAGCGTAGCATGTAGTCATGTTTTTACATGACACGCATCTCATGATTATCATGTTTGCACCAGTCACGTACCTTCGTCATCCATTCACGTCCCGTAATACCGAATTTGGTACATGTGAAGCTAGTGAAACGGCCGCGAGCGCATCATGAACGTAGCATGTAGTCATGTTTTTACATGACACCTATCTTATGATTATCATGTTTGCACCAGTCCCATACCTTCATCATCCATTCACGTCCCGTAATACCAAATTTGGTATATGTGAAGCTAGCGAAAGAGTCACGAGTGCATCATGGGTGTGGCATGTAGTCGTGTTGGTAAGTGACACGTATGTCATGATTTTTTTCATATTACAGCCTGTGGCTTGTGTTCGCCGGGCAGTCATGCCATACTATACCAGTTTTGCAGCATGTCATGTGAATGAAACCCCCGCAAAAGCAGCTAGATCATGAAATATAAATCATGACATTCATGTCATGATTTTCATGTTATTACTAGTCAGTTATAATTGTTATACAATCATGTTACATCATACCAATTTTGGTATCAATACCATTATCCAAACGGCCAGGAAAGCTAAAATTTGTAGGCGGATGGATGGATGGATGGATGGATGGATGGATGGATGGATGGATGGATGGATGGATGGATGGATGGATGGATGGATGGATTGGACTGGATTGGATTGAATTAGATTGGACTGGACTGGACTGGATTGGACTGGAATGGACTGGACTGGACTGGATTGAACTGGACAGGACTGGATTGGATTGGATTGGATTGGATTGATGGATTGATGGATGAATTGATGGATGGATTGATGGATTGCATTGGACTGGATTGCATTGGACTGGACAGGATTGGATGGATTGGATTGGATTGGATTGAATTGAATGGATTGTGTTGGATGGATTGGATTGGATTGGATGGATGGATGGATGGATGGATGGATGGATGGATGGATGGATGGATGGATGGATGGATGGATGGATGGATGGATAGATGGATGGATGGATGGATGGATGGATGGATGGATGGATGGATGGATGGATGGATTGGACTGGATTGGATTGGACTGGACTGAATGGACTGGATTGGATGGATTGGACTGGATGGACTGGATTGCATTGGACTGGACTGGATTGGATGGATGGATTGGACTAGACTAAATTGGACTGGATGGATTGGACTGGACTGGATTAGACTGGACTGGATTGGACTGGACTAGATTGGACTGGACTGGATTGGACTGGACTGGACTGGACTGGACTGGATTGGATGGATTGGATTGGATAGATTGGATTGGATAGATTAGATACGCTCAATGTTGCCGAAGTTCGCCAAAAAATCATTCGCATTTAAAAAGCGTTCTCACAATCGTGTCCGCAAGCAGAAACAACGTGCACCTGTGCATCAGGGCCAATATTCACTAAACCACCACCCCCACCACCATCACCATCATCATCATCGTCGTCATCCCGACTATGCGTACTGCAAAGCCAAGGCCTCTCCTATGTTCCACCCATCCACCTGGCCTTGCGCTTTCTGCTGCCACGTACCAACGACTTGATAATCTCACCTGTCCACCTAATTTTCTGGAAAACGTCTTACACCGAAAGTTTTTGTAACGAAATAATTCACCTAATCACGAAGCTGTACAAATCACTAGCTAAGGCGGCTGGCCAATGGAAAAACGCACCTAGGACGAATATTCGGTCTCCGACATGCTACAGCTATACTTGTCCCTAAAATTTGGCAATTCGAAAGCACAAAGTCTACTTCTTGCGGAGTCAAGACAAGCAATAGTGTCAAACAACGCCAAGCCGATGGTGATGTCTTTTTCCAAAGCAAACAAAACAATGCTCGACAATATTGGTTTAGTCACATTAAATTCGGGGAATTTCCCAGGTACAGTAAATAAAATTTCATGGTTTATTACGTCATATTCGTACCTGCAATAACATAGACGTCTCAAGGCAGCGTTTCTCCTCCTCATGCAAGGAGAAAATTTTTCTCCCTTGCTTAGGAGAAAATTATTAGTGCTCATTACATCGGAATTCAAACATATCTAGTGCAACGTTTGGTGGAGAAACAACTACGTATACTTCCGAAAGTAGTCAAACATTATTAAATATACCATGGTTCAAGAAAAGTGTAACGTCAATAATCATGTGAAGTACGCTCAATTATATCGTGGCAGTCAACCTGCCTTAGCCATCTCACGCCAGCGGCTGTGCGCCATCATGAAATTGCAATGCACATCGTTTTCAATCCGCACGGCTGTCACGTCGTCCATGGTGACGCGAAGCAGTTGCCTAGGTCTTGGCGTCGTATCTGGGCCACGGCTCACCAGCCCCAGCATTTGGAGACCTGCACGATATTGATAATGAAGATGAACGTTAGGATTGCCCGCGCACCATCAAACGTCCGTTTTCAGCAATTGTGAGTGAACACACTTACAGTGTGTTCACTCACAAATTGAGAGAGAGAGAAAGAATGGTAGAGAAGAAAAGGTAGGGATGTCAGCCCCTTGATAACCGGTTTGCGACCCACTCGCAAATGATTACCCACTGCGCTTGTCAAGTGATTATGGTGCGTGAATATGGACCTAAGGGTAGCGGGGATCGAATCTAAATTTTGGCAGCCAGATAATAATAGAGGTTAAAATGCTACAAGACCGTGTGCGTAAATGATTTCAGTTGGTCGAGCTTTTCGGAGCCAGTCACTACAGCTTCTTCCAGTCATGTGGTGGTTGTGGGACGTAAAACACAAACAATCTGCATATTAGTCTTTAAAAAACGCATATCTTGTTTGAGCTTCGCAAACTCGTTCATTCTATGTGGCTAGACGATACCGTGAAATAGCCGTCTAAAAGGCGTCTTTTTTTAATGAACGTCATTTTTTTTAGAATTCAACCTACGAGACCCATGCTGCTCATATGGCTGGAATTCAAGGTCCATGACCTGGAGTTATTGTACTGTTTTCTCCGTAACTTGGAAAGCTTTAATTACCTCCCTAATTCATAATTTTGGATGCCTGAAGCAAGCGTTGGTTGTGCACCCAGTCTTGAAATTATCTATCTCATGGAAGAAATTATTCTCATCACAGCATTCTACATTAGGTTAAACAGCACCCGCACTGGCTCCTTACTATGACACCTCTTCATTCTCCTCCTATTATTCTTTTGAGCCCATCGACTTTCCTCATCACGCGCTGGTGTGTACTGTCTTATTTTATTTTGATGTCCATCATACATCATTAGAAAGAGCCAAGTGAGTGGAGGTAAACTTGTGTACTAAGCGCACAAAAGCGCAGCAGAGAAACTCAATTCCCGCGTCATGCTACCGTGAAAACTAATCTCTTTGGCGACACTTAGCTGTCAAGACATATAAGCCGCCATTTACCCAGCTAACCTCAGCTTCGATTGTAATTCCAGATTCTTACCCTGTCTTAGGCGAACGTCGCCCACCTCTTCATTAAGAGCCTGCTTCGGGTCAGAACTTTCTCGGGCAACTTGTTACCGAGCGCCTGAGCACCACCCAACGTCAACAAGGCGTCAAAGTAGTGCGTCGGGTGGTGGTAATAGAACTCGGTGCTGTTACTCGGCTGGTCGCCTTCGACACGCACCGTATCGTTGCCTTCGCCCTGAGGAAGCACGTCGTTCGCCGTGGCTCGTACAACGTACCGGTACACGGTGCCCCCGCGCCGCGTCACGAGGTCTGCCATGACCCCGGAAGGGCACACGACCTTGGCGTCGCCCAGAAATTCGGCCGTCTGGGTGTAGCGGTCGACGTTCGAGTAGCCGCTGCCGCTGAAGTAAAGCCACCAAGCGGGACCCAAGCTCGGTCTGGTGAAGAAGTGCAGTACCAGGCGCTCAGCGAAGATGCGAACGAATCCCCTGGGCCAGTGGCCGATCTGGGCCAAAGACCAGTCCTTGAAGAACCAGGCCAGGTAGTATTCACCTTCGTTGGCCGTGTGTCCGATCATAAGCTGGGTCCCGTTCATCGGTGGCAGTAGGTCTTGCGCAGGGTCCATTTTGCCCGGGCCTTCTGCTGCGGCCACTGGCATGCCGGCCACGAGCACGGACTCCTTGCCCCAGGGCTCGTACACTGGGCCAAATTGTTTCTCGTTAACGCCGTCGAACGATTCGACCTCGTGGAGGAGGGTGAATGGCGAGGCCGCTCGCAGGCACTCGATCATCGAACGCGTGTCGCCATCTTCATCAGCCGTGTCGTTTCCGCCAGTCGTAACGTTCGCGGAAAGATTGCTGTTATGAGTGGAAATTGGTCAAAAATGAATACAGAAGTTTTGGGAATAGCTTGTCAACCTACTATAGGCAGGACGTATCCTAATACCTTTGAACAACTTGAAAGTACTCATCCTTTTTTGTTTTCGTTTTTTGTAATTCAGATGCATGCTCGCGCACATATGCACAGTGTTACCATGGCTTTGTGTGGGCTTCGTAATTTTTTGTCTAGGGAAGTATGTGCGAAAATTTCAAAACAAATGTTTCCGAGGAATTAACCCACTCCAGTCTCTTGGCATTCTCCTCAGAAAAAATATTTATTCACCAGCGAGTACAGTGCGCTGCGATGTAATTTACTAAATCTCCAGCCATTACTTTCTGCCATACAGCTATGTCGTATTTGGAGCATGTGTAGTTTTTCTACACTTGAGCACAGGAGTGACACATACTGCTCTTTAACATCAAGCATCAGTCGTGTTTAAGTAATATTATTACACAAGTGTCTCGAGCTGTCCACACACCTCTTTATGCACTGTTTGAAACAAAGTAAACGGTATAGCGCACTGTTATATTTCAAGAAGTGAAGTCGGGGACCATCTCCGTAGAATTTGAGATGAAATTAGGCGATGGAACGACCAGAAGCATAACATGCCTTAAAAAAGACTTCGCAACAAAGCAGCAAACATCATCATAATCAAACTTTGTTATCAAAGTTTGATGATGATGTTTGGTGCTTTGTGGCGCAAGGGCCATTTGATGACCAAAGAGCACCAGTTCATAAGGCAAGAGATGGGAACAATGATTGTGTTTAGCGGCTGTATAAGGGTCTTAAAATTCCTCGCCCTAAGGCGGGTAAAAACATAGAAGTAATAAAATCATGAGCATGCCAAGAAAAGTGTGTGGTGTTAATGAATGACGAAAGTTTGTTATAATAAACACCATGGTGGGCATGTATGGCATAAGCACTAGTGCATTGATCGAAGGGCCGTGAGGCAAGTGCCTTGTTGAGTGTAGCCACCGCAGCAGAGACCTCTCTGGAGACGTCGTGCTACGGAATGTCTGGGTAATGATATGAAACGTATGAACATCTTTTAAAAAAAGCTAACAACGATTTATGTGTGAAAAGTGGCTTCCTACCGAACATTTCAGGATGTAGTGGTATCTGTTGTTGGTAGGGTAATGGAAAGTGTAGTCTTAGCTTGTCTAATTCTTCGCACTGCGTTAGAATGTGAAGTACGGTGAGTGCTTCTTCACATCTGTCACACAAAGGTGGATAGCCCACAGATAAAATAAATGAATGCTTTCTGTGTGTACGTCCTGTTCTTAACCTTGTAAGCATTACTTTTGTGTGGCGTGATTTTGATACTGGTGGCCAATGACCAAGTTGCGGCTTGATGAGATGCAATTTATTCTCTGTGTGTGTGTCCCATGTGCTCTGCCAGTAACGCCTGAGCTTTCGATTTAGAAAAGCTTTCAAGTCGAGTGCAGGAATCGGCATCGAAGTGTTGATAGCGGTTTTGTTGGCGGATCCAGCTAGCTGGTCCACCAGAACATTGCCTTGTACTTCGCGGTGTCCTGGCACCCAGCAGACAATGGCATGCTGCTTGGATGAGTAGGCTGTGTATAAAAACGAATAAAGCGAGACAGGGACAGGATTTTTGTGCTTTTTAGGTGTTTTTAGAGCTTTTACTACGCTTAGGGAATCTGTATATATTATTGCCTTCTGTAGTTTTATTTGTTTAATGTGTCTAACAGCCACAAGTATCGCATAAGCTTTGCCGGTAAAAATGCTTGTATCAGAGTGCAGAACGCCGGCTTCCGAAAAGGATGGACCGACGGCTGCGCACAAGACAGAAGTGTTAGACTTTGAAGCATCCGTAAAGAACTCGGGACATGTGTATTTATGTTGTAGTTCAAGGAAGTATGTCTGGATATGTGCAATTGGTGCATGATTCGTAACCTCTAAAAAAGACACGTCGCAATCTATCGCCTGTCACTGCCACGGTGGCGGGCAGACTACGGAAGCCATCAAACGATGTTCGAGTGGCACACCAGTTTCCTTCGCTAGGCCCCTCACATGGAGTGAGTAGGGCTGTCTCATAGAAGGCCGTTTTCAAACCCAGCAAGACTTGACATGTCGTTGATTGTGGAGTGTGATGGGTGGTCCTTGTCTGCGTTTAGATTAATATATAAAAGAAATGTAACATCTCTCTCGTTGGAGTGACCATTCGTTTGATTCCACGTACATGCTCTCTATGGGGCTAGTGCTAAAAGCACCCGTAGAGAGGCGGATGCAAGCATTTTAATGGCAGTAGGTAGCGCAGACTGATATAGTATTGCCCTATAGTCTAGGCGGATACGTATGAGGCTTTTATACAAATTCATTAAACACTTCTTGTCACTTCCCCATGTTGTACGTGACAATACATTTAGGACAATTATGGCTTTTATGCACTTGTTTTTTAAATACTTGAGGTGTGGTATGAAGCTTAGCTTAGTGTCTCATATTAGGCCTAAGAATTTATGTTCAGTACTAACTGCAAGACTTTGCCCATGCAGTTATATATCAGGTTTGAAATGAAGGCCTCTCTTGCTGGAAAACTAAGTTTCTGCGTATGAGTTTCAAAGTGTACTTCCAAGCATTCTATCATATCATTGGTGTATATTCTAGTGCAGTTGCAGCACCCATGCATTAAAACGTGTTATCTTGTGCTGCAGTGGAAGATAGAACGCTGGAGGCAACGGTAAAGCGAAGTGGGTGTCACAAAAACACTTGCGTCCATAGCCCGCCCGCACAAGCTTGATAGTTGCGATACTAAATATATACACGTTTAGTTGTTTACAAAAGCAACACTAACCAGCAACTTTGCCCCCATGTCTCTCGCCACCGCAGTGCGAGGTAATATAGCGCAGTTCTTCAAGATCAGCAGCAGCCTGAATACGTCCACTGCAGAACAAAGGCTTCTCCCATGTTCCGCCAGTAAACTCTGTTCTGTGCTTGTTGCTGCCAATTAGGGCCCGCAAGCTTCTTAATATCATATGCCCACCTAACCTACTGTCTCCCTCTAACCCGCTTGCCTTCTCTGGGAATCCAGTTAGTTGCCCTTAATGACCAGCGATTATCCTGTCTACGCGCTAGATGCCCAGCCCATGTCCACTTTTTCTTCTTGGTTTCAACGGTGATACCTTTAATCCCAGTTTGTTCCCAAATCCACTCTGCTCTCTTCTTGTGTCTTAAGGTTACATCTACCATTTTCCTTTCCAATTCTCGCTGCGTCATCCTCAATTTAAGCTGAAGCCACTTTGCAAGCCACCAGGTTTCTGCTGTGTAGCTAAGTAACGGCAAGAGGCAGCTGTTATATACCTTCCTCTTGAGGGATAGTGGCAATCTACCTGTCATGATCTGAAAGTGCTTGCCAAATGTGCTCCACCCAATTCTTATTCGTCTAGTTACTTCAATGTCATCATTCAGCTCCGCGGTTATTACCTGTCCTAAGTAGACTTAGTCTTTCACAATTTCAAGTGCACTATTACCTATCTCAAAGCGCTGCTGTCTTCAGAGGTTGTTGTACATTACTTTCGTTTTCTGCAGATTAACTTTAAGACCTACCTTTCTGCTATCCTTGTCTAACTCCGTAATCATGAGTTGCGATTCGTCCCCTGGGTTACTCAGCAATGCAATGTCATCTACGAAGCGCAGTTTACTAAGGTACTCTCCATTAACTGTTATCCCAAACTGTTTCCATTCTGGGCCTCTGAAAACCTCGTGTTAAATAGCATTGGGGAGATTGTATTCCCCTACCTTACACCCTTCTAGATTGGTATTCTGTTGTTTTCTTTATGAAGCACTATAGTAGCAGTTGATCCCGTGTTCATTTCTTCCAGGATGTTTATATATGCTTTTTTTGACGCCCTGATTCCACAGTGTCTGCATGACTGCTGATATTTCTACTGAATTAACCGCCTTCTTGTAATCTATGATGGCTATGTATAGTGGTTGGTTATAATCTGAGCATTTCTCTATTATCTGATTGATAGTATGAATGTGGTAGATTGTTGAGTAGCCTGTTCGAAATCCTGCTTGTTGCTTTGGTTGATTAAATTTTAATGTTTTCTTCAGTCTGTTAGCAATTACCTTTGTAAATAGCTTGTATACTACAGAGAGAAGCTGATCGGCCTGTAATTCTTCAAGTCCTTGTCATCTCCTTTCTCATGTATTAAGATGATGTTAACATTCTTCCAAGATTCTGGTACTGTTCCAGTCAGAAGACACCTCGTGAACATGGTAGATAGTTTTTCAAACATACAAGACATACTAATGCCTTAATTAAGGGGCAAGCACTTCAAAATCTAAAAGCCACAACCAATAATACTGACAACATTACCAGGTTTGCTTTTTGGGCACTACTACAGTTCCAGCAGTGGACGGTACATTTTGCAATCTCTAGCACGCCGGCCTCGAGCACGGACTTCTCGCCCCAAGGCTTACACCTGACCGAACTGTGCTTTATTAACGCCGTCGGATGGTTCAAGCTCGGGTAGGGGAGCTAATGGCGAAGCTGCTCGCCGTTCGCTCTCAAGGTCGCTCAATGTGTGACTGCAGTACTGCCGAAAAGCCAGCAGCCTCGCAATTCCCAATCTTCTTGTACAGTAGAATTACGACTACACTGCCTCTTCTATCAGTCCCGTTAAAAATATGGAAGGTCGGCCCAGTTTGATTACTACACATGGCTTATAGAATCGTTTCACCTCCATTATGGCTTTTTCTCCTGAAATGGGATCACCAAAAATGATCTTCGCGTCATATTCGTAGCTGAGCTGTTCTACTCTTACGGCTAGACACCAGCATCAGGAACACTTTAGATTGGGGTGGGCGCCTTGTTTCGAATTGTTCCATTCTGCAAATAAGTCTTCTCCAGCATATACCTAGATTACCTTGCGTAACGACCAGGCTAGGCAGCGGAATCGTCTTTATGCATACGTAGTATCCAAATGAAGGCTGGTTTTAAATTGGTCTCAGGACCTTTGTGGGAATCAAATAGAATATTCTTGTTATAATGGTGAATACCAATGTACAACTCCTGACTTTGCCAAACTATGTCGTTCAGCGAACAATATGCAAGTAACTTATGCATTTCTTAGTGCTATTGCTTGACAGTTACACATGTGGAAGTATTCAATGTTCTCATAAAGAATTATTAGATATAGTGTTCGAGCTTCTCATGATAGGTGTTCGAGTAAAAGTGTGTGTATAGGTGTGTTCGAGTAAAAATATGTCTTGAATTGAATGTAATAGCAAACTATGCATGTTGAATGTTGGCCGTTTCTAATATCCGCACACCCCTAATTTGTTGCGAGGCTCGATAATAGATGTCAGCAGACACTTACGGGGCGGGAGTTGTCCTGCGGGTGCAGACTGCGGCCGCGTACTCCTTTATCTCGCGTGGTCCCGCGAACGGCGCTCTCTCGGTCGCCTCGAACGGACTTCCGCCCTGCATGATGACACGATGGAAGAGCCGGCGACGAACTGGCATCAGCAGGTGCAGGCCAGCGCTGACGGCGCCGCTGTCCACTCCGATCAACGTGACGGAGCCAGCATTGCCGCCGAAAGCGGCCGCGTTCTTCGAGACCCACACGAGTGCCGCGTGCTGATCGCGTAGGCCCTGGTTTCCCTGGCACGCCGAAGAAGGGCGTCGCGAGGAAGCCGAACACGTTGAGCCTGTAGTTGGGCACGATCACCACGACGTCCTCTGCGGCCGCCATGTAGCGGCCGTCGTACATGGGGTCGTCGTTCGAGCCCCGTTGGAACTCGCCGCCGTGCAGGATCACCAGCACCGACCTTTAGAAGGCCACAGTCGAATCAGGTGGCATTTTTGTCCACGTCACTTTACTTTAGATTAATTTATTTCAATGACTAATATATAAATGACAAAGTTTTCAGTTACATGTGTGCTTTCGGAGTGTGGAGCCAGTCGCGAGTAGAGAAATGTCGGTGTTCTGTTGTGCGGGACGCCAACCTGCAGCATGCGGGCCGCATGAGGCAAGCCACTTATAAGAAAACTTCGAACCCCCACCCCCCTTGCTGTGCCACTCCCCCTGTTAGGCAGTTTTCACGGTAAATAAAAGTTTTCGCTTGTAATTTTTTCTACATTACAGCCTTTTGATACGTGCGCTGAAAGTAAACACGATTTCTATTCCAGTTCTTTTCCTACTTCGTTGTCGAATTTTCAATTACAATTTACCGAACGTTTGCTCTGTACATGCCTCCCCGCTCAATCTGTCATGCCTGCTTCATGCAACTTCGCACTCCGCCTGGAAAGATAGACTGTTAATGTTCTATTTTATTCATGACACGCGCTTACCATGAGTCAATAATGAGATTTTTCAGTGTAACTGAGCTGATAAATGGAGTATATATGATGTTTGTCGATGCTCTCAATGAGAAGAAGGCTTACCACCCGAAGCTAGAGCAATGACTATGAAACAGACAGAGGTTATCGTCACTGATCTACATTGAATATGAGAGGGGGGGGGACAATGCTAAGAACGTATACATAAATGACTAATCTGTTGGAAGTGTCATACAAAACGAACTGTGGTCTGCGATGCTGTAGATATTGCAGCAGAATTATCCAAATGAACTTGGAGAAGACAGGTAGCGATTTTTGAACGTCGAGTATGAATATATGCTGCTATTTTTACACTTTTAAACCTGGTAATGGGACCTAATACTTCCAAAAGTTATTACTATTGCTCTGTATGCCAGTCGATACGTGGCCACAGTTTGTGCAAGAAGCGATACCACGATCTCACACTCAGTAGTACAGTAGAACTACGCCACTGTCACTCACCTGTCGTAATCTGCCTACAGAAAAATATGTATTGCATCTTCTGTATGAAATAGCGACTGTGCAACGCTCACCTGTTCTTGGCTTTGTCCGGCGCGTACACGTTCACGTGAAGGCAGTTCTCGGCGGCGACGTATCCTTGCGTATTGTCGGTGACCATCGAGAATGGGGCGGGTTGTAGGCAGCGGTCGCGCACCTTCTCAGAGGCGTCTCGGTAGCCGCTCCACGGTGTGCCGGGAGACGGCGCCGAGAAGCGGTCCGTGCCCAGCGGGGCGTCAGCGTACGGAACGCCGTAGAACACCACTACGTCCCTGGGAAGAAGCCCCTGCACACTATAGAGCCTTCCGCCAATGGTTTAGGCAAACAGGACACAAGGTCCCTCATGCGTTTGCCTAAGGTGTCTGGAAGGCAAACCCGACGTGGTTAGGCATTGCATTTACAATGAGAGGCATCAGTTATAGTATACTGGACATAATGTGATAGCGGGCTTACCGTGATTGTGAGATCGACGTGTGCATGCCCAGATATATACGTACATCACCCGTACCACTTACCGTATGCGCGCTATTTCTCAGATTTAACGTCATCGTGTTAGCGTGGTGCACGTAATCACTGCAGCGCTTTGGCACGCCCGCTTCGAAGTGATTTTAGCGTAGTTGGTGAAACATGCACTTCGATCGCAGCAAAAGACTGTTCAAAATGGCTCCGCTTGCCTTCAGTTTGCTTCGATGACCGAGCATTACGAATAAGCTGGCGGTATTTTCTTCAAATATTTCTCAGCCTAATTAGAAGATCGATGTGAAAAAATCAGCAACATGGAGGTTTTCGCGTTGGGTGCATGGTTCATATTTATTTACTTTTATTATAAGTGAAATATTACGGCCAAACGTTCTCGTTTTCTTTTCTTTTCACTGTTTCTTGTCAACCCTCCCAAAGGTGGCGCCACAATCCTAGCTGGGGAACATAAGCTACGTAAACGTTATCCCGCTGAACTATAAGACACAGACTGCAACGAACGTTTGCTGGATGATAACGTCGTTCTCTAAACCTCCGCTATTACGCTAACGGTAAACTATAACTGTCTATTGGAAGCTTATTGCAACTCATGTGTTTTCGCAGAGACTCAGTGACCGCCACACCTTTCATAAAGCAATCCATGTGATGCCACCATCATCTAACACCAATTCAAATGACAGCGTAAAACAGCCGCGGTGGTCTAGTGGCTCAGGCACTCGGCCGCTGACCCGCAGGTCGCGCGATGCAATAGCGGCCGCGGCGGCCGTATTTGCGATGTAGGCAGGAAAGCTTGAGGTCTGTGTGCTATGATTAGGTGCACGCTAAAGAATCCAAGGTGGTTGAAATATTCAGAGCTCTTCACTACGGCGTCTCTCATAATTATATGCCGGTTTTGGAACGTTGAATTCCAGCCATTATTATGAAATGATTTCACAGATATGTAATAGTGACTACGAGATGGGGCGACATGATGACGAAGTGCTGACGTCATCCTGTGATAATTTTGCGTGGGTAGCATTGACGTCACCCACGGTCACTTTTAAAGTTTGACGCGTCACCTAATTGATTGATATGTGGGGTTTAACGTCCCAAAACCACTATATGATTATGAGAGACGCCGTAGTGGAGGGCTCCGGAAATTTAGACCACCTGGGGTTCTTTAACGTGCACCCAAATCTGAGCACACGGGCCTTTGACGCGTCACCTAAGGCTTTCGTCTTAGTAACTGTTGGCATATGAGGGGTGTTTTACATGGCTGACCGTCAAGGTGCGTGCGAACGAGTAGGTCGAACGCATCTGTTTTCGATAAGTCGCTCGGTTCGCAACATTTTAGTGGCCTGATGCAGTCGCGAAACTTTCAAATCAAGTTCAAATCCAAGTTTTTAACTGACAAAACTGGAAGGTCACCAAGGCTAAAAGCCACGGCTTGACAAAGACCCTGGCGACCTGTACATGTAAATGGCAGTAGTGTGGAATTCATTACAGGTACATAGTATGCAAGTACTATGTAAAACATCAACAATCATACTAATTGCAAAGTCGGCAATCAAGTTAGCTGGAACTGGACGTCTATTTATTTTTCAAGGCATCAACGATGCGAGTAGACATGAATGGCAATGAAGGCGAAGCCTTCCGCTTTGTACAGCGAAGAGCATGTAGTGCTAACGCGGTGGTTCTATCGGTAGCCGTGAGTTTGCTTCTCGGTCTCAGCTAGTAATCTGTGATAGAAACTGTGGAAATTCCCATTGTAAAAAGGCTCCTCGAATACAAAAAACGATGTCAAGTGAAATCAAGCGTATTGGGAAAATACAGAATATTGTAACCTTTGCAGGCACACGCAGCTTGCGCTATACAAGAGTGATCTCACATCATTCGTAATGACCTTCTTTCTGCGGTGAAGATAAAATATGGTCACCAAACCAATGATGACGATGATAACGAAGATGACGATTATGATGATATACGTGGTTGTAGGCGGTTATTGAATTTTGGAGTGTACACAAGGGACAAGCACAAACAAAGGGGAAACGACAAGCTCAATTATGTGGTTCGTAGCCGGGCTTGTGCGGAACTGTATACGTGTAAGGTAGTGACAAGCATGTAATAGTTCAACTAGAAGTATGTCCCCATATTCTGGCGTGAGGACTTGTCGAAGTCAACCGTACGCCAGGAGGAAACCATCGATGACGAACTGTTCACATTGTGTCCGACATATGAAAAATGCGCAATGGCACGAGTGTGAGAAATAAAGCTCTCTAAGGTCCAGTGCAATCTTGTTGAAAATCTCAGTGACACTGTACCAGTACTATACAAGGTTATGCGATCATGAACTGTGGCACTGGGAACGTATGAAGACTTCACGAACATTTAAACTGCATTTTAGAAATTCATTAGACCCACCATAGTAATTGAGACTAAATCACAAGCACCATGACAAGATAAAAAAAATTGTCCCCGTATCGGCATGTTAATCTGAAAATGTCGTTGAAAGACTATAGTGTTGCGTCTGGAGAGAGTGAACAAAACGTTTATTTGATGTTCTGCGCAAGAAAATTGGTGAATGGTATTCTGGAGGCGCTGCGTTAGAATGCCTCGAGCGTGCAGTGGAGGAGACCGAGCGCATCAAGTCACGTGACACGTGAGACATCAGCGCTATCTGGCGGTTATTTTGGAAAACAAATCGCGAGGCTCTGAGACGGGCGTGCGCGCCCGTCTAAGAGGTGATGAGGTGTAGTAGGCAAGGCGACGGGTAGGTGCCACCACCGTGTCCTCTTAGCAAATCGTTGGAAACACTTGTCTTTTCGTGCAAGCGTTGCATGGTTAGCACAGCGTGACATACGCTAGGGTCCTTAGAATTACTTATGTATGCCTTTTCTAGTAAAAGACGCACATACATAATTATATATGTGTTGTTATGGTGCCTTAGATATGCCAATGGTTGATTTTTAATTGGCGATTGCACAAGCATGAACGCTGAATCTTGAGCAACATTGGTGGGCGCTGCGGATGGGGTTGGCCGTTTGGAGTATCGGCTGGTGCCGTTTAGAGTACCCGGTACCCTTAAGAGCAGACAGACAGGCAGGCAGGCAGGACGGCAGGCAGGCAGGCAGATAGACAGACAGAGAGACAGGCAGGCAGGCAGGCAAGGAAGGCAAGGCAAGGCAAGGCTAGGCAAGACAGACAGACAGACAGACAGACAGACAGACAGAGGGACAGACAGACAGACAGACAGACAGACAGACAGAAATGTCTCCGTCGAAGGTCCCTAAGAAAGACTATCGTCTTTTAAAACATTGAGACACCGGTGATACAAATACGTGAGGACAAACAAGTGTGCGAAATTCGGAGCCACCAGTTCAACACATCTCGCATTACCGCTACACCACGCTTGAACACGGAAAGATTGTATTTCTTTCTTTCATGTAAAATGTAATTTTAAATGTCCATCTTTTTATGTTGTGTACATGCTCAGGTATCAGTCTCTGCGCTTTCGTAACAGTCCATCTGGCGCATTTTGCAATGAAACATATGAGCGTAGCGGAACATATCTACAGCATCCACGCTCACTCGCTTAATGGTTAGTCGTGGCTATGTTAAAGTCATCATACATCTGAACTTTACGCTGAATCCTTTAGCTTTCCTCACTCTCTTTGACATTTTTTTTTGTCATTCTTGTTCAGGTTACGCGTACTACAGCTGTTACGCCCGAACTTTCTTAGGCTTCACTTCACTCTACCAGAACCGGCCACTAAGCTTCGAGCTGTACTCGGCATGTCGCGATCGCTCTGAGGAACGTAGGTATTCAATAACGAAGAAATCAATCATCGACCGAATGTCGTTTCAATTGCAACTGACTATAGCGGTCATAGTTTCTTATTCGACTGCACAGACCGGAAGTGAGAAATTTAAGATTGAGCTTTGCTAACAAACCTCTCACAGAGGCGAAGTGCTGGTGACGTAAGGCTAGTGCGGACGTAGGACGTGCTTTCCCATGTGAAATGATTGCCTGCTTCTGTATGTATATGTTAATTAGTATATTGTGGGTGTTAATTAGACACATTATCACATTGAAGTCTGGCCAACATGGGGGATTCTCCCTCCAATCGTTACGCCATATTATTAATACTGACGTCATTATGTGTCTCGAACAATATCCTCTTACGATGCAGTTATATGAACTAAGTTCGTGACACTCAATCACACGATTCGGAGAAAGTGCTCGCGCTATAAAAATTATTGTTTTAGAATATACGTTCATACGTCACCTAAATAAAACTAAGAGTTTAGAAGTGTTGCACACAGAGTAGAAAAAATAGATAGAAAATATTCGAATATTAATAAGCTTGGGATCTTGTGAACCACTAAGAATTTTGTCACGAAGTCCAACTGATGCGCCGAGTCTTCTACTATGCGCTGCCAATGTTCTCAGTGCACGGGCACACACTGTGCAGTGTCTGCAGTGCCTCTCAGAATGTTCTAAAAAGCTGGACCACATGTACAGTACTCCAAATCCCTTTCAGCGGCCTGGCCCCGCCACAGTGATCTAGTGGCTAAGGTACTCGGCTGCTGACCCGCAGGTGGCGGGATCGAATCCCGGCTGCGGCGGCTGCATTTCCGATAGAGGCGGAAATGTTGTAGGCCCGTGTGCTCAGATTTGGGTGCACGTTAAAGAACTCCAGGTGGTCGAAACTTTCTGAAACCTCCACTACAGCGTCTCTCATAATCATATGGTAGTTTTGGGACGTTAAACGCCTCATATCAATCAATCAGCGCACTTTGTGACACTGCAGCACTGTACAGTCTGTCCCATTGCATCTCAACAAGCTGCAATACACTGACGCTGACGCACCATGCAGCGTTTCTAGTGAAGTACAATGCCCTTAAAGGCACTGCAAGGCACTGTAAACGTACTTTTACCGTTAGGTAAGACAGAAAAACTACGAACAAGCAGAACGAAACAATAGGAACAAGTTCTTTGCATACTTGAACTAACACGTCTCCTCGCACAGTCATTTAATGGATAGACAATAACCGTTCACGCAAAGTTGTAGCTTGGGCACATGTAATATATACATTTCCATGAACACCAAATTGTTCTTGTCACACGACCTCCAAACGCGATTTTCAGCACAGTTATTATATGTGAGAGAAATAGTGAAAATGTCAGCAGCTACAGCAAGCAGAACGTAGGATTGCCTTTTCGTCGTCAGACGTAGGATTGCCTTTTTGTCGTCAGATCAAATTCTCAATACTAGGAAACAAAAAAATTGAAGCACGAAGCTTAGATGTGTTTACTCTGTACCAAAATGATTTATCACAGTTTCATGACCTACAAAAATATGTTATGTACACTAGCAATGAACGTTCAAGTATCTGCAGGTTGCATAAAAGTGTTGCAAAATTAAGGATTGCTTTATAAAGGCCCCTAACATAATGGAACCTATTTCACACTGATGTGCAGTAGCAGATGCCGTTTACCGACTTGCGATAGCCCCTAGTTATTGATTAGAACTAACAAACAAAAAGCTGAGGAAAGTATAGGGGTTTTTTGTACTTCTTATGATGCAAATGTGGAGATATAAAGCGAACGAAAACACAACTTTCTACTGGCAGGTACCGAAGCAGCGAGATTCGAACAATGCACCCGATGCTGAGCTGTACCAGTGGTCATCCTCCCGTGCACTATAAGGGCTATATAAGTGCATTTAAATCTTCCAACGTTAGTCAACACCGCTATAGTAGCCACACTGGCAAGTTGGAAATACTCTACCAACTTATGTCATGAAGCACGTGATCTTCACACGAACTGGCTCATAAAGAATCCCTCGCATTCTATTCGATGGAATGTAGTTTGCCCGTACCAGACCTTTGCTATGAATGAATAAATGAAAACGGGGCATTGCCTTATTCCGTTCGTTCTTATTGCCAAAGCTTTTTAACTGAAACAATACTGCTTGTGAGTTTTCACGTATCGTTCGTTTCGGGAAATCAATTGACGGCGTAAATAAATGGGGTGGACATATTCGCCGCAACGCCCACAGTCTGCGTTGCACGAAATCACCGTTTACACCTGCCTTTCAGATGATAACACTCCTGTCCATCGATAGTTTCTAATTTCTGCATTACGAAACTCTGAATTCTGAGATATCAGAATTTCCAAATTTCTGAAATCAAGGAAGTATAAGTGTGCCTGCACGATAAACCTACATAGGTCCACACAAACCACAGAACCTATACCTGTTGAACACAGAGACGCGCACACCAGTCACCGCTCCCAGGCTTGTCATGGCTGTCACTTCCCGTTGTCTTACAAGCGGGTGGTATTCTGCAAGTGGCACTGCACTTAGCAAGAAGGCCACAAGACACGCCACGCATATGACCAGTACCGCACCTGCACGTAGACCCAAGCACGCTATTAGTGCTATGCTGAACAATTCGTTGATTCAGTAGAATAAAATGAGAATTCACGAAAGTGAAGGGTTAACAAGTGCTTTTAGATTCGCTTTACGAAGACCCCCTAGCTAACCCCCAGTGACTCTTGACTATGCTTTTAGTTTTGCACCCAGCAAAAGAAAACTAACTCCACGCGAAGGCTATCCAGAGAGGGCAAACTAAGAAGTCAAACGAATTGCTCGAATCGAAGCGACTGACCGCTCCTGTAGAAAGCACATGGATGCATTTGCCAATAAGTTTGTGCGTACGCGTATGTTTGCGCACATACGCACAAGCTTGAGCATACGCGCAAGTTGTTTAACATGCCAAAACCACAATAATCTTATAAGACACGCCATTGTAGCGGAGGGCTTCGAAAATTTCTACCACCTGGTACGCGCAGTGGCATCGCACTAGTCGTCATTTTACCTTCATCGAAATGCGACCGGGCTAGACTGACGACGTTTTGGCTTAGTACTTGTTGTGTAGCGACCACGATAGGTGCTCCCCTATTAGGTGGCAGGGGGGCTGTGAAGGTTTATTGCAAAGGCACTCCCCTAATAGGTGGTAGGGGGGCTGTGAAGGTTCATTGAAGCGGCGTCACCCTTCCCTATCGAAACGATGTATGAGGCAGACTCTGCGCTTCCTACTAGCATAGGTGGCAGCGCACGATCACTCCTTGCAGACATCACTAAATTGTCTTTTTTGGGGAGTGAGGAAAGGTGGTGAAGCAGTCGCTCCAGTGATTGCACACTGGTCGTCACGCACAGCAACACTTCACCGAGAGTTATTGCGTAAGAGATTGTGCATACGTACACGGCCACTCTGGGGATAATTTGCCAAGACACGCGCTTTCTCTGGCAAATGGCGGAGCACAGTGAAGAAAGTTTCTCACAAAACTACTGCTGCTGCATGATTGCTAATGAATTGATTGATTGATTTGTGGGGTTTAACGTCCCAAAACCACCATTTGATTATGAGAGACGCCGTAGTGGAGGGCTCCGGAAATTTTGACCACCTGGGGTTCTTTAACGTGCATGATTGCTAATGAAAGACGGCACGTCAAGCATCCTGCCAAATATAATACATAGTTATTGAAATTTGGCCTGCTTTGTGTACCAGGAGCGCTTCGTATCACGAAAAAGTCTTGGATCTGCAGGAGTGGCGCTGTACCACTATTTTGAAAAGTGGCGTTTTCTTCTTCAAGACTGCAACTGCCTATACCTTCGCGAGTGTGGAAGGCGTACACGTGCTGATGCACACCCAACAACAGGTCTCATTATCATCAGGGCAGTGAGCACTATGAGCACGCTGGCAAATCTTACCTGCCACTGTTAGGCCTCGACAACTAAAGCCTGAGAGGAGCAGTACTATATCTCTGTAAGGTTGATGATTGATAAGTGCCCCAAAACCAGCATGTGATTATGAGAGACGCCGTAGAGGAGGACAGCGGAAATTTCGACCACCTGGTGTTCTCTAACGTGCAACCAAATATGAGCACGCGGGCCTACAGCATTTTCGTCTCCATCGAAAATGCCGCCGCCTGCAGTCAGGATTTGATCCCACGACCTGCGGGTCAGCAGCCGAGTACCTTCGCCACTAGACCACTGCGGCGGGGCTTCTATGAAAGGTTACGCATACTATATATGAATATTATTTTTTCTTAGCAAATGTCAACAAAATAAAGGTGAACTTACAGACAAGACAAATGTAGAGCTTGGCGTTGGGGTCGCCCATGCTGTTTATCAGCCTCTGACGCTTTTCCCGACCGCCGCATCCGAGTTAGTCTTCTTCTTTGTCGACTTCCCTGCAACGCGAAGATAGCCCGCGTCAATTATGATGATGATGATGATTCCCCTACTGTGGCACAAGCATGTTTGTTTTCATGATGTAAAAAACCAGCGCAAAAAAGACGACACTGTTTTTTTTTGTGCTGGTTTTGTACATCATTAAGCTTAACCAACTCGCCCAGTTTAGCACGATGCTTGCCTGCTTGCGTGCTTGTTCCGAAACGCTGACTTCTATGCCCACTAAGAGAAATAGACCTATATGATGACTGCTAATGCTGCTGTTGCTTTCCTAGTCTCTGGCTGAAGCCAACTGTGAAGTACTTACAAAAGTTTGGGCCGTTTCATCAATAGTAGAAGACTTATGCTTCAGCTAGTAATATACACTTTGTTTAAGTTTTTAAATCCTTATGAGAAAAACAGCGCGCAAATGAACGTAACGAATATAGATAAAGTGCTTGCGTTGTGTTAGCTATCTTCAACCCCGTCCGTTCAAGCGCTGTTTTTGTCATAAGGATTCAAAAAGTTCTGGGAAATACTGTAATATGGAAATGTAAAGATTTTGTATATTAGAAATCAGGCGAATTTCGGTGTGGATAACATGTAGCATACGTAACATACATCGATTCATCGTGAGTGTTGTCGTCTTCTGTATTTTTCCCTGCGTATTTGATGAAGTTAGATCACATGAAAGGGCAGTATAGAATGGGATTGTTCCAAAAATTGCAATTTTAGTAAACTGAATTTGGCTTCTTCATCGTCGATACTGCGCTAAATATCGGCGTTGTGAAAATGAACGTCACACTCTCAAACGCAATAAAATGCACTCAGTGCATTCACAAAAGTTTGTCTAGATTTTCTGGTACGTTACGTATTATGCTCAGAATAGTTTGTTCTTTTTTTGTTCTCCTTGTTTTTTGTTGCAAAGGCAAGCACAAGGTCAGTACTGATGATATCTCATTCGAAGTACTGTACACTCTCTATTGACTAAAAAACCAAAGCACTTGGCCGAGGAAATCAATCACTTAAATGAAAGTTCAATGAATAGAATATTCACTGGAACACGAAACGTGGTCCGCGGCGCAGTAGAAATGACGTTATACGAGTGAAATGCAAATATTTTGACAATAATTACCTATTTTTCGTTTGGACTGGCACCCTAAAGTGTGACATGAGACAAAGCTCTCGAGGGAGTGGTTGAAAGTATTTGTTTTCGTGCTTTGCCTCTGGCAAAGCTTTCACAGCGAAAGCTGCTACGAGATCACAACAATGATTAAGAGCGCAGTGGTTGCCCACTGCCGCCGCAGGTGTCTGTAAGCACTATCACGCGAAATAAAGGAAAAAAGTTAGTATACAAGACTATTAGGAACAACTTGAATTCGAACTTAGGTCCTCTGTGTAGCAGCCTACAGTGTTCCACTACTAAGCCAGACCTGTGCTTGACACTCCACTGCAAATTGACCTTAGGCACGCTTGATGTGGGCAAAAGAAGCGCGTTAATACAAGTAGTAAAGCATTTTAGAATAATGAAGAAACAACCAGGCGTCAGACAATGCGAATTGCGTAACGAGTGGACCATCGGATGCTCTAACCCATTGCTAAACCTTCAGGAATATTTGGGGCCTCTGCGTTGGGACACTCAGACAGGATTGTTTTCAAAGCTGTGGTAAAGTTTACAGCGCGATTCAAATAGATTTGCGTTTGTATCAAGCCGCTAGTAATTCTTCATTCTTTCTTCTTATCAAAAGATCTTCGTCCATTAGGAGGTTACCCGAATAGTCCAAGCTAATATTAGTATGCTTCAACGCTACAATGAAAATTTCATCTCTTGCCTATTTTTGCTCTTACACAATATGAATCGTAAATCCAGTCTCTATGAACTGCCCGACTCTTGACGGAACCCCTGAGCGAGTAGGTGCCAGTGTCAAGTCAAGTCAAGTCAGGATCCTTGACAGTGTTTCAAGGAGCAACATCATCTTCTACATCGTCAGTCAGCCACAGCATCGAAAATTTGCAATAAAATATTTTCTTGCGATTCCGTAGCGAGTACTACGCTTCTCCGAAGAATGATGAAGGATGGCATAGTGATTTCCTGGTTGCTACACAAGAATCGTTTGATATTCATTTATATATGGGGTTTAGCGTCCCAAGTCCCCATATGATTATGAGAGAATCCGTCGTGGAGGGCTTCGAAACTCTCGATCACCTAGGGTTCTTCAACGCGCACCCAAATCTGAGCATACAAGCCTTTTCGCCTCCATCGAAAATGCAGCCGCCGACCGCGACCTGCGGGTCTCCAGCCGAGTATCTTAGCCACTAGACCACAGCGTTGGGGCCACTGCACAAACATTATGATGCTTTATGGCGTAGTGGGTACCCTGCAAGTGTGGTTGTAGCCGTCACACAGTGCCTGGAATACTTACCGCTACAGAAACAGTATTTTAACCTGCCTAGACCATTTCGACTCCTTCGTCACACTCTTTTTTCGCTTCCGCACAAGTACGCGGGATCGATTTCCGGCTGTGGCGGCTACATTTCCGATGGACCCGAAAATGCTCCAGGCCCGTGTGTTCAGACACGGCCTTTGGATGAATACTGTGCGCTTTCTCATCCAGCGGCCATGGCTCGCGTTAAAGAACCTTAAGTGATTGAGATTTCCGTAGCAGTAAAGGCCACATATCAATCAATCCGGAAATCCGGACAAGTAACATAAGCACTATATATATATATATATATATATATATATATATATATATATATATATATATATATATATATATATATATATATATATATATATATATATATATATATATATATATATATATTAAAGTGCACGGGGCTCGTTTTCGTTTTCCGCGCGGCCGCCTTGCCTCATGCCTCAGCAGTGCTGCTTCATCCAAAAGCGATGTTGCACCACAGCGCATGGGTGGGCGATTTGGTGGTGGCACGCATCGGCTCTATACCACCGTTGCATCGTGCAAAACTTCATTGAATTCAGTCAGATTGGTTGCGCAAACGAGTCTGTTACAATTTATTAATCACTATTCTTAAATTCGCATTGCTGA